ATCTTAATAATTAAGTCATCAAAAATAAATTAATTGGAGAAAGTAAAACTGAAATATTTATGAATGGAGAAGTCTGGACTTTTCAATAAAAAGCATGCGTTCTGTTAAGTGCCCAAGAAGTATTTACAAAATAGTTGAACATTTTACTTAAATAATTACTATGTAAATATTAAATGGACTCGGTAGAATAACTTACACAAAGGCCTAAGCATAGAAGGTAAGTTTGATTAGTATTAATGATGGGCTGAAAATTTTCCAGTGGAAAAATAGGGCTATGTTGACTTGGACAGTATCTCCGTAATTTATTTTCCATTTTGGAAATTGTAAGACAACAATGCCTTCCATCCATGGAGTGTGAGTTTTTTTGTGTCTGATAAAGAGCTTGTTCACAATTGAGTTATTCAAAAGTATTATTGGCAACAAGATTTTAAAGAATCGTGGCCTTTCAAGGATTCTCAAGAAAACCTAAGATATTTTTGATTGAAAAAGTTTGGATTCTGTCTACCTAAATCTGGCATTAAAAACAAATCTAGAGTGGTGATAGTTCTAGTTATGATCATGTTCCTTCTTCACTATCTGTCTTATATATAGGGTTTTAAAATTTCCCTAACAGCTAAAGTAGCTGAACACAAATTATGGAGAGGTTATAGAAGGAAAACATTGCAAAGCAATGAAAGAGAATATGCATTTATTTGCATGATAGCAAAGAAGAATTCAACCTTCACTTCAACATCAGCTGTGAAATACTGCAGCCTATAGCAAAAACAGCAAATGAGTAAGACTTAACTTGAGCTGTTTGGGGAATAACAGACAGCATTGAACTTATCCATTAGCATAACCTAGTGCTTCCCAGATTGACACTGATTACTGAAATTAAAAGTAAAAAGAACATTACTGCACATTCAGAAATCAAGTGCATGTAGAATTAAAGGCCACCATATGAAAGGAATCACTACCCATGATAAGACGCCTCTATTTCTTTCTTTCCTTTATTATTTTTTCTTGTTCAGACTTAAATTCTCTACGTGTCATTTTCCAATCTTAGCAGTGGTCAAATTTGTTCTTGGAGATTTTGCCAGTGGCTTCATAGCATTGGTGAACTTCATTAACTGGATCAAGACGGAAAAAATCTTCTCAGGTAATCAATTCTCACTGCTCTGGTGGTCTCTAGATTTGGTTTGCCCTGCATAATATTATTAAATTGGCATTCAACTGTGTTTAATCCAGCTTTATATAGCGTAGAAGAATTATTGCTTCAGTTGCCTGGGCAGTAATGAACTATTTTAGCAACTGGCTTGCTACTAGCCTCAGCATATTTTATTTGTTTGATATTGCCAATTTCTCCAAACTTATCTTTCTTTACCTAAAAAGGAGAGTTAAGAGTATAGTTTCAGTGACACCGTTAGGGTCTTTGGTCTTTTTCTTTTATCGTCTTGCAGTGGATGAGAGTATGGGGAAAAAATTATGAAGGAAAAGTGACTTGGAAGACCAAGTTGAAGAGCACAAGTTTCAAATGGGACTGGAGTCACACTAGCAAACTTCATACACTTCACAATGTCCCTGATACCTTTTTTGCTATTTATCTGTTCTCTTTGTAAACATCTCAAGAAGATGCAGCTTTATGGCAAAATGTCTCAAGAGTCCAGCACCAAAGTCCAAATAAAAACTTTGCCAACTTTGATCTCCTCCCACATGTTGTTGGTTGTTTACTTTCTGTCTATATTATCACACTGGTTTGGGATTCTAACAGGCTACAGAACTAACCTGTCCAAGCTATTAGAGTCATCCATTCTTCAAGCCACTCATTCATCCTGATTTTAGGAAACAGAAGCTAAAGCAGGTATTGTGGCAGGTGAATTGCTGGGTGAAAGGACAGAAACCCTCAACTCCATAGAGATTAATAAGGATTAATAAGAGGGACATTGCATATTTTCCAGTAGAAAACAAACTAATGGTTTCTGGAATATTTTAAATTTCCTACTGTTTTTCCCACAGTGTATACATTTGAATAATTTCCAAGAGTATAATGGAAAAGTTCTTTTACCTACACTTGTATCAAAAGGATGTGTGTATGTGCGTGTGTGCACGCCTGGCTATGAAAAACATGAGGAATATTGACAATAACATGCTCATAACCAATTTTTTTCACACAAACCAATTATAAAAATATAGTAAGAAATTCCTCAGAATTATAAAACCATTTGTATTTCATATGTATCTTGTTTTATTTTCAGTTTAAGACTGTATGACCTATATTTATACACTATTAAGAACATACAATTTATCTCAGGAAATTGTTACCATTTTCCATTGTAATTTGTGCCACAGTGAGTTTAGATTTCACTGCTGGAACTTCTAACTTTTTGGATGGCCAAGACATTCAACTCTAAATTAATGATGAGGATGCATCTTTGGGATAGATTTTATTCCATCAAGAATTCTTATGTTATGTTTATCATGAAACAAACAGAATTGCTATTAGAAAAAGATGCACACCATAAAATTGAAGAGTGACAAAAATACATAGGGTAAATTTTCTTATGTGTATCATAAACAATACTGAGGAATATTAGATTGAATATTAGTATGTAAATAGTTTGGGAAAAAATTTCTGCAGGAGGGATGAAGAAAGATACGTGATCATGACCTGTTCGCAATGCTGTTGTAAGTTTCCACAAACAGTTAGAAAAGTAATTTCTTCTAGTTTTTGAATTAAAGAAGACTTTTTCTAAAGTTTGGATCTGGTGTCACATATTTCAGTTTTTTGCTAAACCACCTCTGAGTCCCTGAATTGCCAATCATCTTTATTTTCTGTCCATAGAATTTCTTTTAAACTTTGGAAACATAACACAGATCTTCCTTATCTTAAAAAATACTCAATATAAAAATAATATAGAAATTGTGAAACATAACTCAATGAACCTTTCTGAAAATGTTATTCGTGAAATCTCTATATCAGTGACAGGAAATTTCTTAACAATCTGTTTTATTATAATCTTGTTATAACTGATGAAATGAGAGAAAGTGTATTGACATATTCATTGGCAGTAAGTTCTAGTTTAAGAAGGAAATGTGTAACCTTGTTCAGCAAGTAAATTCTCACGACTATAGTGATTCTTGGTGTTCCAAATTTTGACATCTATCATCTCTGCATCTGATTTATATATTTATTTATCATATATCTCTCCCAGTACAAGTAAGCATCATAAAAGCAGAAATCACATCTGTCTTACTGTTGACTTCCAGGACCTAAAAGCCAGCATATAGAGTAGTTGGTCAAAAATGCTATTTTGACAAACAAATAAATTAGCAAATGAACTATATATTAAGGCTAATAAACCAATGGAAATGAATTCTATCAAAAATCTGCAGTTGCATTAATTTTCCTCTTCTGGTTTCATGTGGTGGCTATAGGCTTCATCAAGTAGAAGCGTTTCTCAGCATATAGGATTGGCTATTTCAAAATTCTAGGGGAAATGTCTCTCTACTATAGCTTTGATTGCAGGTATAGGTGTGTGAAGTGAAGACATGTAGGAATATCACCAGACTGCACCTCTTACAAGAGTTTTGGAAAAGCACATACAAGATTTTGGTATACTTGTGATTTGAATAACGTATTTTTTATGTGATATTTTCTAGCTGGCAATTGTATACAAAAATGACATCTAATCTTAAAAACTGAGTTAGGAACCAGCTGCCGTCATTTTTGCAAAGGACTTTTCAGCATCCTTTCTAAATGAACTTTTTCATTGCTATGTTATAAAATTATAGAAAAGTGAATAAATAATAATTGTACAGCCACATGAGTGTCTTAGCCTCAAGCTCCAAAATTTATAACCAGTATTAGGCGAGCAAAGTGATGACATTTGTTTGGGAGGGGCAAACAAGGCAGCCATGTGGGGGACACAGAAGGCAAGAGAAGAGAAAGAATGTGGTGTGATGTGTGACTCTGTTGGTGGCATCTTCACAGGCAGGTGAAAGACAGTATATGTGGCCATTGTATCTGCACACTTAGACCCCATGACATTTTCAGAAGGGATTTGGGGGGAGCCACAGCTAGTGTTTATGGAAGAGAGGAGTAGGACTCTACTCTCTTGGCTCTCTTCTGTCTTCCACTTGCTTTGATTGGGGTTTACCTGAAGCAGAACTAACAACTCTGCTCTTCTGCTTTACATCATCCATCTGTTTGATGGCTATTTAGAAAGTTGGTAGGTTCTCCTGCTCGCAGTGTGGCATTCTGTTTGGTCCAGACTGGAAGTATGATCTGGACCAAGCAAAGTGCTGACCAACAGAGCAGGAGATGAGAGCGTTTGAAATGTACTCTTGCAGAGGCTTTTAAATGTCCAGTAAACTATTATTTAAACCACACTGTGCCATATCCCTCAAGCAAAACAGAACTTATTCCTCCTGCGTAACTGAGGCTTTGTACCCTTTGCTCATTATCTTCCCATTCCCCCCCTTCCCCTTGACCTTAAAGTGTTTACAAAAGCTCAGTGCTTTGGAAGCTATATCTACCAATTTAGATTCTTGTTGCCTGCTATGTGTGTATATTTTTAGCAGTACTTGCCTGGAATTCAAGCTGGCAGACTCAAATATGTAAATAGGGTAAAAAAAAAAAAAAAGAAAACACAGAACAATGAAAATAACTACATCTTTATTTGCATGTTAGCAAATGAGAATTCTGCATTTCCTTCATCAACTCCCAGAGATTTCATCCTACTATGTATTAGGCGCTCAGTATCTGAATGAAGCTCAGCCGAACTATCTGGAAAAATACAATGATTTTCATGAAGAAAACTGTAAATCCAGTCATTAGCTAATTTTGATGGTTGCTGATTTAACATTGTGTACACAAGTTTTTTTTAGTTTTTAAAAAAGTTTTTTAAAGAAAGTATATTATTGAATTTTTGAGAATCAGATATACATAACATTTTAGACGAATGCATTAAGAAATCTTCAGCGGTGATATTATCAGACATTGGAGTACTCCCTTGCAGACGATGAGTAGTGTCATAAATAACATACTTTCATTAATTTTAACTGTGGAATTCATAACTGGAATTTTAGGAAATGGTTTCATAGCGCTGGTGAACTGTGTTGACTGGGCCAAGAGAAGAAAGATCGCTTTGGCTGATCAAATCCTCACTGCTTTGGCAATCTCCAGAACTGGTCTGCTCTGGTTACTGTCGTTAAGTTGGTATGTATCTAACTATTATCCAACTTTATTTAGCACTGAAAAAACGTACAGAACAGTTGCTTTTTCTTGGGTAGTAGCCAATCATTTTAGCATCTGGTTTGCTACAAACCTCAGCGTCTTTTATTTTCTCAGGATAACCCATTTTTCCAACTCAGTTTTTCTCTACCTAAAGGGGAGAGTTAAAAAGGTGATGTCAGTGATGTTTCTGGTGACCACGGTCATCTTGTTTTTTAATATTACACTGGTTAACGTCCACATTAATGCCTGGATCAATGGATGTAAAAGAAACATGACTTGCTTTTCCGATTTGAATAAGTTAGTAAGATTTTCTAGTCATGTTTTAGTCACCAACACTATGTTTACTTTCATACCCTTTACTTTGTCCCTGACAACTTTTATCCTGATAATCTTCTCCCTGTGGAAACACGTTAAGAGGATGCAACGTGGGGCCAAAACTTTCGGAGATGCCAACATCATGGTCCACATTAAAGCTATGCAAGCTGTGATCGCCTTCCTTCTACTGTACACCATTTTTATGCTGTCTTATTTCCTACCACTTTGGCGCTCTCACGGGCAGAAGGAAAATATATTCAACAAGTTTTGCTACACTCTTGGAATTGTTTATCCTTCAGGCCACTCATGTCTCCTGATTCTGCAAAACAGTAAGCTGAGACAGGCTTCTCTTTCGGTGCTCTGGTGGCTGAGGTGCAGGTCCAAAGATGGGGAGCCCTCAGGCCATCTGCCATTTAGGGAATCCTCTTGAGTATTTGAGAGGAAAATCAGTTCATAAGAAATTCTTGTATGTTATAAAGTTTCTAATTTCCCAATATTCTCCCTTTGTGTGCAAATGGTGAATTTTATAAAATCATGTTTGAAACAAACACTATCCCAAAATACTATAATTCAGGAGAATATAAACAAGTATGTATATTAACGTATTTATACACAGAGGATATGAATATGGACCACTTAAATATATGAAATCTTTACAGTAATAAATAATATAAATTTTGTATCAATTATTAACCTTTTTGAGACTTTGAGATGAGAAACCTATATTGTATAAGATGTACATGTGTATGTGACATATAGTTACTAAAATTGCTGATTTTTAAATTTAGAACATGTGCCTAGAAGTTTGGATACTAAACGAACAACGCAATATAAACTACTGGAAACCACATACACTAAATCCATTGTTTCAATTATAACACCCTGTTTGCCAATATATTTTAGAATCTCCTCAGAATAATGAAGTTGCTTTATTCCAATTAGCCTATCTTTATTATTTGTTTCACATTCAAGAATTTTTTGAACATATTTGTTATATTTATTTATTTTTAAAATGAGATTTTAAATACTTATTTATTTTTGCTGTTTTTGGCTGGGGCTGGGTTTGAACCCACCACCTCAGGCATAAGGAGCCAGTGCCCTACCTCTTTGAGCCACAGGTGCCACCCGAGATTTTAATTATTTATTTTTAAAATTTTTTTTAGGGCAAGCATGAAACAAAGTTTATTGAGGAATAGAAAGATAGGCTTACAGAGTAAGAACGCTTACAAAGCTGGGTACATTCACCACAGACAGCAAAGGGGCCTCCATTGCCAGGGCAAGGAGGCTGAGATTTTTTTGCTTGTTCCTTTGCCACAATAATCATATCAAGATTATTTCTTTTTACTCAAAAACTAGATATTTTACTAGATATTTTACTTACTCAAAAACTAAGATATTCTCTTTTTAATGTTTTGTATAGATTGGCATATTGAAGGACTACTTAGTAATTGAGAAAATTTCCTATGAAACTACCCATATGCAACAATTTTGAAAGGTAAATCTATTAAATTTCACAATTCTTAATACTTAGATATTTATTTAGATATTAAGTTTTTTAACATGTTGGGGTATTTTGGGGACATTTCGTCCATCATAAGTCATTTTGTATTTTATGTCTGTGGAATACTGTTTTTAATTTTTCAAGTTTAGGTTTTCAGAATATAGGAAGAAATGTCCTATCTTTTAAAATACTTCTTAGGCTCTACCTGGTTACTGTGAAGATTGTTTGTTTCCTTTTCTTCACAAATTTTACTCTTTTGTCAATTTTTTCACAAATTTTAATTCTTTGCCAATTTTGCTGGATTTTCAAGAATTTATTACTGTTAGTTCTAAATTTGTGAATAAAATTTCTTTTCATTTATTTAATATTGCTTTCACTTATTTGTATTAATTCTTGTTTCTGTTCACTCAGGTTTATTTTGTCCTTCCTTTTCTAATTATTTGAGTCTATTGCTTACTTAATTTATTTTCAATACTCCTTGTATTATAAAACCATTCCATTTCTAATTTTTCTCTGATTATTATTTAAATCAAGTCCCATCAGTTTTAACACATAGTTCATCACTATTTATTTTCAAATTTGTTAATAAATTTAAGTTCTGTTTTGGCAGATGTTTACATTATGTAAATATTTCAAGAATACAAGTGCTTTGATTTGTATTTGATTTTCATTTTTAAATTATTTTGTAGGGTTATATAATCTGATTTACAAAAGTATATTGTTTAATTCTGTTTTTATTTTATTTATTTTTAAAAAATAAATTCTCTCTCTCTCTCTTTTTTTTTTTTGAGGCAGGATCTCACTATGTTGCCCTTGGTAGAGTGCTGTGGCGTCACAGATCCCAGAACCTCCAACTCTTGGGTGTAAACGATTCTCTTGCCTCAGCCTCTCAAATAGGTGGGACTATAAGGCATCCAACACAATGCCCAGCAAGTTTTTTTTCTGTAGTTGTCATTGTTTAGCAGGCCTGACACAGGCTTGAACCCTCCAGCCCTGGTGTATGTGGCTGGCACCCTAACCACTAAGTAAGGGTGCCGAGCCTTAAAAATATATTCTATTAGAAAACATATGCTTTTTTCTTTAGATTATAAAGTCTGACACAAATGTAAATATAATACATTAGTTTTTTAAAAACAATTTTTGTCTTTTTTATCTATTAAAGGAAACTGCCTTGGAACTTCTGCTACATTTTTCTTATATTCATTATCCTCTATAATTTCCAATAATTTTTATTAGCTATTTTTTCTCAAATCTATACTATATGACTTATACTTCTCTACAGGAACAAGCTGCAAACACTGGAACAATTATAAAATTGATCATAAGTAAGTGGTATATTTAAAAATGTGAAAAGATCAGAGACAGCTGGATACTAAAACTTAGTCATAATTGGAGGAAAATAAAAGAATGGAGATGCATTAAATTTTGCTTTTTAAAAAATAGTTCATGTTTTAACAAGTTTAAGTAACTTTAATGAATAGGAAAAGAAGGTATAACTCTGAAAGTTATAGGTAGGGTGGTGAGTTAAAAATGACCACAGTTTTTTTTTTTTTAATCTTCACCTATGAATTTAAATAAATTTACTTACCTGTCAAAGACATGAACAAATAAATAAAAAGACAAAGCACAACTATATCTTGTTTTCAAGAGGCATACATAAAGCAGAAAACCACAGTAACAGAAAATACACGAAGAGACCAGGGGTGGGAGGGAGAGGAGGGGTAAAAACTTTGGATAAGATGAACAGATGGTGACAGGCACACTAAAAGCCCCTACTCAAGCATTATACAAGGTATTCATTAATGAAATGTTTTTACCTCTTACATATTTTGAAATAAAAAAAGGAAAAATATCTTTTACTAGATACATGGTCAGCAGTTTTTTTTTCTTTTTCTTTTTCTTTCTTTCTTTTTTTTTTTTTTTTTTTTTAGCAGGGGCTGGGTTTGAACCCACCACCTCTGGTATAGGGGGCCAGCGCCCTATTCCCTTGAGCCACAGGCACCACCCCACAGTCAGCAGCTTTTTTCTCACATTCTGTGGGTTGCTTTTTTACTTTGTTGATAGTATCTTTCGGTGCACAATTTAAAAGAATTTTCATTAAAAAAGAAAAGAAAAGAAATGGGTAGAAACGTGCTATAGGCCAATAATCACAATGATTGCTCCTTACTTCTCAGTATCTATTACCCTATCCTTTGTTAACAGTAGAATCATACTATTCTCTGGGACATATTTGTGCCACGAATACTTTACTTTTTAGGTAAGTGAAAGATAATCTCCCATATGATTATATTACTATGATCCAATGCCTTATTTGCTTATATTTGTCATATCTAACTGAATTATAACTAATAATATCCTACCCAAATACAAGTATTAGACTTACATCTAAAATAAAGAACACCAATAGTTAAGAAAAGTTATTTCAGAGTAATAAGAATTAAAACACCACACTGTACCCCAGAAGTGCATTAATGTACACAGTTACTATTCAATAAAAAAAAAAAAAGAAAAAAAAATTCATGGAAGAGATGTAATAATCATGAATTTTGAACACACTTGACAATGCCTTACCTAAATAGATGAAGGAAAAATAAAAGCATCACAAAGAGAAACTAAAGATAAAATTCTTATTCAGCATTACATGTATTAGAAAAAAGTTTCCTAGATGAATGAGAGACATATCCAAATCAAGAACTAAGAAAATGAACAAAAGGATAAGGATAATAAAGGATATTTATTAAAGTTACCTAAACTTGTTAAAATATGAACTATTTTTTCTTTTCTTAAAGAAAGCATGAAGAAGGGAAGCAGGAAACTTTGTGCTTATTTTGTACTTGGTGCTATTCTAGCTGCTGTATGTGTGTTATTGTATTTAATCCTTAAAACAATCTTGATCCCTTTGGTTGATGAAGAATCTAAGGTATAGAAAGGCTAACTAACTTCCTTACATCACCCAGTTGGGAAATGGAAAAGTTGAAATTTGGGCTCCTTTAGTTTGAAGTGACAATAATTATGCTTTTAGATGTCCATAAAAACTAGATATTAAATAAATAAATAGAAAACTAAAATATAATAGAGACTAGTACACAACTAAAATCTTTTAAAGATAAATAAACTCAAAAGTCTGATAATACTAATCAAGAAATATACGAAGCAGAAAAAAGTCAACGAGATGAAAAGTAGAAAATATCAAATAGAGAGAACTTCACCCAATTAATGTTGTGAATACTTTTATTCCAAAAATTAAAAAATTCAGTTGAAATGGCCAAGTTTAAAAAAGCATAGATCACCAAAAGTTGATATTAATAATGAAAAATATTTTCAAAGATCCCTGAATATACTATCAAAGTATGGACAAGAAATCAAACTTACATGGATTTACAGAAAAATTTTACTAAGTTTAAAAATAAGTCATAATCTTTACCTTCTCCTAACTACTGCAGTGAACCTGAAAGTCTCAACCCTATTTATTTTAAGAAGTTAGAAATTATACTAAAAACAAACAAGCAAAAACAACACAAAAGAGCAAATAGCAACCAGATAGTATTATGGACATAGGTACAAAAATGCTAAAAATAAAAGTGAAATAAATCAATCTTGTAAAACACTTTTGAAAATGTATCTTAAATGTGAAGATTCATTCCAAGAATGTTATGATAATTTAAAACTATAAAATAGATAATTTTAATTTATGTAAAGTCATCTCAATAGATGTCATAAATTTGTTTGGTCTAATTTAACTGCCACTTAAGATAAATATCTAAACCAAGTTTAAATGGAAGTAAATTTCAGTAAGTTGAGAAGATGTCTAATGAACAAACATAGAAACATAGTTAATAATGTGACATAGAAATATTTTTATTTTTCAAGTTTAAAAAAAAAGATGCTTTCATTGGCCATTTGATTAGAGAATGTAGCCAATGCATTAT